TGCTCCTCTCCGCCGGGGAGGCGGCACTGACGTCAAGCCCAGGATTGGGACCCGAGCCACAGCTGTCATTTAAAGAGATAAGCGCCAACCGCGGGCTGCGGGCTCCGCCGCTAGGGGGCGCAGCCGGGGGCCGAGCCGGGAGGAGACGCTACTTGGCTGGGAGCCGGGATTAGTGGGCAGGGAATCTCCGAAAACAAATGGAAAAAGAATGGCAACTCTGCATTTTATTCCCTCCTTCCGTACACCTGTATGTTCCTCCCTGTCTCCCTCCTTCTCTCCCTTCCTTACCCCCCTCGCCCCCGTTCACCCTGGAAAACTAGTTTTTTTGTTGTTGTTTTGTTTTGTTTTGTTTCACTCTTGCATTAAAGTGAAAAATGGAGTGGAGAGGGGAGGAAGGTGAATTATAACAAAAAATGCCAATCTTCTAATCTTTATTTACTATGTTGACCTGAGAGCAGTGACTGCAAAAAGACTAAGTGGAGGTTAATCCCTTATAATGGTTTTACCATGGATGTTAAAGTGCAGGCAGAAATGTCGGAAGGGCTGTTACAATCAAATGTCATGATTACTTATTTAACTGCATGAGCTACATGCAGTTGAAGAATTTTTTTAAATTAAAATCTGATTTCACTTCCCAAGACAAATAAAGGACTATATGTAACATGATTGTTTTCTTCTTTCATCGTCTCAGTATTTGACTCATAGGAGATGCTTAATAAACGTGTATGGAGGAGGGGACAGTGCCAGGAGGAAACAGCTCTGTTTGTTCCTAGTTTCCAATCCTGATCATCTCTTCATTAATCTCTCCATTCCCCTTTCAACTAGAGCAAGAGAAATGGCTTATGTTTTATTGGTCTTTTAACTCCAAGGATCGGGTCACAAATAAAAATAATCTGTATTTAAGCTCACCTTAATTTCCATTGTATACAGCACAAGTACAATCTGCAAGATCAGCATTATTTGTCATAAAGAGTGATGATGGAAATGCAAATGAGAATCTGCTTTATGGTGTGGGAGAATTGAACATGCTACCCATCCTTTTGTGTTCATAAATATAAAGACTCATTCATTTATAAAGTGCTGAAGTGAAGAGTATACTGTGCCACAAAGTAGTTTCTTCAAACATTAGCATAATAATGTAGACGAACCTTATCCATTAAAAGTTAAAATACACAGATGTTAATGTTTTTTTTTAATTTAATGCTTTAGAATTCCTTCTCTTTAAACACACCAGAAAAGCACTATATTTGTGATAAAATTTTTTATAAGTAACACATTATTCTTTGGAGCACTACAAACTACATTTAATTCATTGATCCTTATAAGCCATACCCACAGAAAACGTTACACCAATTTTGAAGTTATAGCACCTGAGGCAGAGAGAACCTAATGGGCCAATGAAAGAACACAAATATTGCCAAAGGCCTAAGACTTTGAAACTGGGTTTGTAATAAGCATCTTCATGCAATCTTTTTATTTATTTTGTACAAGGCAGCTGGAAGTTATGCAAAACAACAACAAACAAACACCTCAAGTATTTGTAATTCTAAGCAAAAGCCTGAGGTTCTTTCCAATATCAGAAGCTTTGTGGTTTTTAGAGCAGTGCTGCCCTGTAAAAATGTGTGATTTACCTAATTTAAATATTCTAATAGCCACATTAAAAAAAGTAAAAATGAAATAGGTAACACTTTATTTCTATAATATATTTTACTTAGCCCAATATAGCCAAACTATTACTATTTCAACATGCAATCAATATGAAAATTTATTAATGATGTAATTTATATTTTTTCATACTAGATATTCAAAATATAGTATGTATTTTACACTGATAACACATCTCAATAAGAACTAGCCATATTTCACATGCTCGATAGCCACGTGTGGCTAGTAGCTACTGTTTTGTACAGCACAGCTCTCGAGCATTCGTGACTCTTGAATACCCACTTGCTTTAAGAATTAGGCGAGATAACATGTCTTTTAAAAGATTTTATTACAGAACTTGTAATGAGAGGAGCTGGAATTCAACACTTGAATAGAATCAAATAAAGAAATAAAATAATATAACTCTCTCAGTGGGAGAATTGTGGTTTCCCTTTCATACCCATCACACCCCCATGATGGTGGGTGAAATTTGAGTGAGTTAGCTTTTCATTCTTATGAAAAGCGGGCCAAGACAAGGGTCTATGGCTTCTTGCAAGGTAAGAAGTAAAATGTTTGCTGCCAGAGCAGGGCCAACATTGGTAGAAATGATGATATAGGACGGAAATGACCATCAACAAATTCAACAACTGCTGTAGAAACTGGGGGAAATTGCAAAGCAGACTATCTATAATAATAAAAGTGTGATATGCTAATTAGACCGGACAGCTGAATGACCTTCCAGATGTCCTCCCGGAGAACCTTCCGGAGGAAGCTGGGGCTGCGAGGGCCTAGGCAAGCTGCCGCAACTGCAAGGGCCAAGGCAAGCCTCCGCGGCTGTGAGGGCTGAGCCTCTTGCACAAATTTCGTGCATCGAGCCTCTAGTAAAACTATATTTTAGTTCACCTCAAAATCTCACATACCAGTTTGAGAATTTCAATGATGCTATGAAATGGAAACCTTTGCAAATGAGGCATTTAGGAAACTCCAAGTATCAGTGCTGGATGTGCATGTTATATAGCATATACCAGCAATTTAAATATCTTAATATATTGATATGAGTTCTTGCTCTATATTACAATTATTACAAAAGCATTATTAAAGGTTAGGTAACACTTGGTAAAACCCTAGGAAATTAAATACCCAAAGACATTAATGAAAGCGTGTATAGATTATGATGCAATGTATCTGAGCACTTAATGCCTGACACATAAAAAGTAATCAGTAGTCTGGCTGGCATGGCTCAGTGGTTGATGGTCGACCTATGAACCAGGAGGTCATGGTTCAATTCCCAGTCAGGGCACAAGGCCAGGTTGCTGGCTTGATCACCAGTAGGAAGCGTTCAGGGGCAACTGATCAAAGATTCTCTCTCATCATTGATGTTTCTATCTCTTGCTCCTTCCCCTTCCTCTCTGAAATCAATAAAATTATTTTTAAAAGTAATCAATAGATGTTTATGAATAAAACCATTTTCATATTAACTTATATAATGTAAAGGTCATGTTTTTGGAGGTAGCTATGCGGGTGAGAATATATGTTTTGAGGATAGTTTAATAAAATGGTCTAGTATTTCATATTGTCCAGTTGGTTATCTCCTGAAAGCACTACTTAGCTCCTCAAAGCTTAGGGGAAAGGGCAACTTAATTTCCCATAACATTAGAACATCTGGGGGGAAATCGCGGTCTGGAGACTGGGGATAGTATTCTGATCCAAAATGGATTCTAAGCCCCTTCAGATAACATAAACCAGGAGCCTAAAACTGGTATTCTTATATACATAATGTAAATATTGTCAATTCAGTGCTGTAACTTAAAAAAAAAATGTTTCAATGGTTGAAAACACGATCTAAAATATAAGCCAATGCTAATTTCTCCTCACCACCAGATTTTCTTTGGAAATGTCCCCAAGTTATAAGTTTTATTTTAATTTGTTATTTGGAGTAGTGACTATTATTTGATGAGTTTGACTCCACCATTAAAACCCTAATCACAGCAGGAATTCAATCGTTTCCTATACTTTTAAGCTTTTTGTCTTATCTAATATGTTTGTCCGGGGAATTATTTAGATAATAACTCTAAGACGCTTGATGCTCCTCCAAGGAAGTCACTATGGAACCCAAATAGTGTTATTGTAAATATTATATTTCTCCTATGATGCTTGCCTTGTCTCCAGTGGGAGCACAGGGTGAGTTGGATTTGTGAAATTAATCCTTCAACCTAAGGTTTACAGTTAGTGAAATGCTTGATAACTATCTTAAATCGAAAAAGAAGCAATCAAGGCCCTGGCCATGTAGTTCAGTTGGTTAGAGCATCGTC